AATTTTTTATTTAATTTGCCATCTATCGGATCATTTATAGATCTATAGAATTTTGCAAAGCCTACTTTTAGGCGTTTTTATTTTGTAGCCAGTGCATGATAGAAGAAGAAAATAATTATAGCTCTTAATTGGGTGGCAGACTACATTAACAATTAATATAGTTGGATAGGGCAAACATGAGAAATTCATGCATATAACTAAACAAATTTATTTATAAAAAAAAAATAAAAAATAAATTATTTTGAAATAAATAATATATGTATTTTGTAATAGACTTCTCTGCCAATAATTGAATACTATTTAATATATATGATGTTTGAATATAATTTTATTTCTATTATTAAAAAGTATATTTAAAATAAATGTATATTTGTATGTATGCATATAGATATATTGTATATTCATATGTTTTCATAGTATATAGTATATAATTTTATGAAGCACAGAAAAACAATTCAACCGATTCAGATTGAATAATAAAATAATTATGGTTTAGCTATGTTGCGCAATTGAGTTTCTAGTAATTTAATTATACATACGCGGTTTCCCATCAAATTTCTAGCATGTCAATTTAAGTTGAGCAAAAACGACTTGAATTTGCATACTGTTTGACATTTTTTTTTGTTTTGTTTTTTGTTCAGTTTTATTTGGGGACTTAGGGCAATAAAGCCGCTCTAGACCGGCTTTTGATAGCAAATGTTTGTGCACACTTTATGGCTACGAAATGGGCCCGCATGGCAAATGTGGAAGTCGCGGTCGTGATCGTGTGACGCGAACCTGTTGATAAGCGGCTGAATTTGAATAAGCGCACGCGATATGGACCTCACACACAGAAAGACAGAAATACACGAGCACACATACACACGTACATTCATACCAGTATTTAACTGTATTTGTGTACACAGAAACACGCTGGAATATTTTAGATTACGAAATACACCACAAGACGAAACGACTTCTAAATATATACGCATAATAAAACGGTAAATTTCGAGTGCAAAAATCACAGCGAGAAGAGCTTATAAATTATGATTAAATATACATTCATACATATGTATGTATGTACATACCTATATATGCATGTATAGATGTAACACGCCGTTAAGCCAAAGGATTCCCAAAAATCGCGAAATTGATTAACAACAAAATTAACTGGTTTTTTTTGGCAGTTTCCATTTGCAGCCTCGTGCCGTGAAGAGGAAATGGGAACGGCAAGACGTGGAAGCGGTTGGCGTGTGCAGCACGAGCAGCTGTTCTGCAAAAACAAAAATCCCAAAACTTGCCGATAATGAAGAGCGTTTAATTCGAATATTAACGCAGTTATTTATATGATTTCCAGTCAACAAGCAGCTCGAATCGACAGATGCTATCAGCTTCACAGTGCAAATAATATAAGCCACTCGCCATATCAGTTGACGCTGCGCCCATGCGCCTCTTTTTCCAATAGCTGACATGGAATTGAGTTCTTGAGTTCTTGTCGTCTTGCGGACGGTAGCGGCTGCAGCTGAGCGAAGGGCCCAACGTTGGGCTAAAAATTACATCTTATCTGCATCCGAAGTAGTTTATTGCTTGACATCGTAGCATGACTCAAAGCTAATGAGCGCCAGCTTCACTGGTGAAATCGTAATCGAACAGGGGACGCCCCTGTGTCTCTCTGTCTCGCTCTAACTATTACTCTCTCATTCTCTTTTGTGAGTGTGTGTATTTATTTTATTTCCAGCCTGCACATTTACGTCATTCCAAAGGCGTTGGACTCCATTCCAAAATCGAATTTCTGCAAATCATTTTGCATGGTGAGCGCAAAGAGCACTAAAAAAGTCAACAACAACAATAMAGCTCTCGTGTGTGTTAGACAGAGAGACGTACCAAAGTAGCGGGGCAACACAGTCAGCGTCAACGTCAGCGTCAGCGTCGGCCGAGAGCCGATTGGCATTGTACACTTGCGCATCACGTGAACGTGGTCGTCGTCGGCTGTGTGTCGAGCCGAACGTGTGAGAAACGTGATCAAAGATCACGCTGAGAGCGATGGAGTAGGAGAGCGAGCTTGCGCACACACACGTTCGTTCAAATGAGCGCGCGAGAGTGGGTGCGCCATGGCTATATATTGAATATAGACGAATGCCCGTATGCGTGTGGGTGTGAATGTGTATTGAAATATAACACATAGAGTATGTGTGAGTATGTGTATACAAATGGCAAGAAATTAACACTGTGCGGCGCCAAAGCTGTTGTTGTTGCCGGCACAGCAAGCGTTGGCACCATTGACTTTGACGCGCCCGCGCGCTCTCTCTCTCTTTCATTAACGCTCTTTAGTTCGCTCTCAGCAGGTCTTTTGCATTTTCTTCCTGCGCCATTGCCTGTACAGGCAGTCGCTCTCCATCTCGTTCTCACTGTCTCTCTGCCCGTCCATCGCTCTCCCTGGCTTTGTCGTTAAGGTTATCGCAAATTGTTTTGCGAAATTCAATGTTGATTTTCATGCTACGCGATGTTATTAACAATATTGTAGAGCTTGTTTAATATTATATAT